CACCACTGTCACTGACCCAACCAGGAATTCCAAGGTAGATCCAATTTGGTCCATTTCTTCTGGCCCTGCAACCTGAGCACCAGATTTATAAGATACTTCATAACCCCGAAAACTTGTTGATGGATGTATTCCTGAGAAGACCAGTTCCCTGGAAGGCTATTAAGTATATGCAAAGTTCTGCTGACTCCAAGGAAAGCCAATTGTGTTAGCCTTCAGCAAGGCCTTGAAGACCTGACTGTTTCCTCAGGAGTTAGGGCTAGAATGTTAGAGAAGTTTCCTGCAAGGTGGAATATTTGTTGGCATGCCCCCAACTGTGTGTTTGGTCATTGTTTTCTGTGGTGTTGCACTTCTGCACTTCTGCTCCCACAACTGCAACTTCTGGCAGAGGGTAAAGACACTCTTCCAGCCATCTGTCAAAACTCTCTTCCTCTTCTAGCCCTGTTCTATCTGATGGAGAATGACTAGCAGATGATTTTCTTGTCTGCAGAGAAACCCACCAATTGCTGCACCTTAACCTGCTGTAAAGTCTTAGAAAAACACTCTTTACCATTTTTTAAAAAAAAATGAGGCCAAGTAGATAGAGACTGGCTGTGCAGACATGGCAAATTTATCCTGGCATACTTTGTGACACCTCCCAAAGAATTTTCCCCTTGGACTAATTCCTCTTCACTGTCTTTGAAAACCTTGACCTCTGTTTGCTAGTTTTCACTCTCTATTTACAGCTCTGTTCTAGTGAGGTGAAAATAAATACATTTGACTCCAATTTAACAGGCAACTTAACTCATTACAACCCAACGTGCAGTCCAAAATAAGTGCATAGTTTTACATCAAAGGTAAGTTGAAGGAATTAATTCAGGTACAGCAAAATGCAAAGAAAGATATTTTCAATTCAAAATGGATGCTGACTGCAAAGAGAAGGGAGATGATGAAATGACAGGTAGTTCATATAGAATACAAGGAAGGGTAAGGTAAACCAGGCCAGAAAAGTATGCAGAACATGTTTTTGGGAATTATTCAGCAGTGACTTTTTTTCCCTGTGTAACAAAGTAATCTGTTTTATATGTTACACATATACAGAGTATATATTTATATCCAGGGCTTTTTTTCTCATAGAACGCCCAGAATGGAGTTCCGGCACCTTTTTTGGATAGAACCTTGTAAGGTAGGCAAGGTGGGTTGTATGACATGTGTGAGTTCTGGCACCTTTTTTTTTTTTTTTTTACAAAAAAGCACTGTTTATATCTCTCTATCTCTATCTATCACTCTATCATATCTCTCTATCTATCTATCTCTGTCTATCATTCTATCATATCTATATATCTATCTCTATCTACAGTATCTACAATATCTATCTATCTATCCATCCATCTATCTGTCTATCTATCTATCTATTGTCAGAGTGCAAAAATAGAGTCTATAATGGAAACTTTGCTAATTTCCTGGCTGGGAAAATGAAGCAAAAATTATATTGTTAATCTAGACATACTTTTATAGTATTTTAGATTGTATATTTAATCTTTTGTATTTTTATCTCTTGTATTTTTATCAAAATATGATGTAAAAGTGCCATACAATAAATTAATAATAATAGTGCCTCTCTCTATGTTTGTATGGGTCAATAATTAGCATAAGTGCCGATGTGATGCTTTTGTGTGTGGGTGTGTGGGTGTGGGTATCTGTATGTATCTGTGTGCTCATCCCACATACCAAATCTGATCCAGTTCTGTTTACTTTCTAAAAATCAATCCTGCTAATAGAGAAGACAGAATCTAAGCTCCTTCACATAATTTCTTTTTAATATTCAATTGGGTTAGAAAGAATACAAAGATTTGTGGTTCTTGAGTTGCTCTAACAGTCCTTTATGCCTGGCAATCACATCTTTCTAAAGAAGGATTTCCCAAGTGTCTGGTTCCTGCAGTGAAATTTGGCTAAATGCCAGAGGATTTTAGCATTTAAGTAGCTCGAAAGCAAATGCTTACAGTCTTTGGCATAAGTAGGCAAAAACAGAAGCAGTCTTGTAGCATCTTTTTATACCAACAATTGTTCTTAAATGGCATATGATGGTCAAAAAACTTATGCCTTTTTAAAATGTAAATATTAATTTGAAAAGACTAATAGGACTTTTTCTAATTTTTAGCTACCATAAACTAATATGGCCCTCGTTCTGGAATATTACACCATCTAAGAATACTTACAGCACAGCTCTTTGCAGGTGATTTGGCACTTTGTCAAAACAGACAAATTACTGAAAATCTTAAACTGACGCATTTAAGTACAACAAAGTGTTTCCTCAAGCTCGTACAGATAGAGAAGCTACACTGCCTACTGGCTCTATTTCAGATATGAAGGGAAGAAGATCTTCATGGCAGGCAGACACAGCACCCTTTGCAATTCCTTAAGCCCTTTCTTCAGGTTCGTGCTGCAAGTGCAGATCTGAAAGGCAGCTACGAGTCCAGAGAAAAGACACTGCTGCTTTAAGGAGTTGGAGAAAGGCTATATACCCTATCCTGCAAACTGACTGACTGCACTAATCTACTTCCTACTCATAACTGAGACGTTGGAGGTCTGTTTGGGTGAAGATAGCCTGCAGTGGAATTTATCTGTTGCTTTTGTATAGATTTATTTGTTTATACAAAGGTGGGGCATCTGAAGTATCTGTCTGTCTGTCTGTCTGTCTGTCTATTCATTCAACCATCCATCCATCCATCATCTATCATCTACCTACCCACCATTGATATAGCTTTAGTTCTCTCAGTAGCTTACCCAAAATCAAAACCAAAGGGGAACACCCCCCCCCCCTTTACTGTGTTATTTGTGTTCCAGTTGTAGGTGGAAGTGAAGCTATGTGTTCTGGAATGAAAGTGGAGAAGTCATGTTCTGGAATGAAAGTGGAGAAGACATGAGACCTTTTGCTTTGTTAAATAGGATGGATAAAAAGAACTTAGAGATACTGTCAGAAGGAGGCACCAGATGTTCCTAGGAGGCAGGTGTGTGAGTCAGTGGAAAAGGGTCCAGAAAATGTGAGGAGAAAAAAAAAGAACAAAACAAAAACCAAAAAGGAAACGAGGAGCTGAGATATTAGGGAGGAGAGAGGAGCAGAGACAAGAATGGAAGCAATCAGAACTGCAAATGGTACCTACTGAAATGCTAAGGAGTCAAGAGAAACAGTGGGATACAGCTGAAACATGGAGGGCAAATGGGATAACATGTGAATGAAGAAAGACACTGTGGCTCCAAAAGGGCATTTTGCAATGGAATAAGATTCCTTCTATAAATTGGAATTATCAAAAGACAAGTGGATAGAAAAACAGGAGGAAAAAACATGCTGGTGGTATATAATATAGAACAGGGGTCCCTAACCCCTGGTCTGTGGACCGATGCCGGGCTGTGGCATGCCAGCAACCGGTCCGCACAAACAAGCAAAGCCCCATCTGTAAAATGCAGGCAGCACACAAAACCATGCCCCCTCCAGTCTATGGAAAAACTTCTCTCGACGTAACCGGTCCCTGGTGCTCAAAAGGTTGGGGACCTCTGGCATAGAAGATACTGTAGATGGGATAGAAAACAAATTATGGGGCAGGAAATGAACAGAGTTTATTCAAAATTCTCTCTTGTGGATTTCTCCCTGGGCTGGAGTACAGAAAAATAAATAAGATGCAGATTATTAAGAGACTTCTATATAGACACCATCTCTTCCTTCTTACTCTCTTCTGCAGATTTGTGTAACTGCACAACTCTTCCCAGTGGTACTGAGCTGTCCTCCTACCCCTACTGCAGGCCACTGCTTTCTTCTAACTGGTCAATTGAAGGATGCAGAAAGGGCAGCCATTTGTTTTCCTGTTTACCATCCTTGTCCTTCACTCACCATGTTTGCCTTTGGACAAGAAAAGACAAATGATAAAAGGACTAGAAACCAACTGCCGTGTCTATGTATTTGTGTAATAACCCTGCCTCTTAAACAACTGATGATGGGATGAAATGTCCACAGCACCTGAATGGCAGGAAAAAGGAGGACATTCTAACAGGACAAAACAGGACCTCTTACCAGGACGGGAAACTGCTCACTTGGGCCTCCAGATGAGATGTTGCAAGACTGCTTTTATAGCAGTAGAAACATAAAAACTGATAGAAAACAGATAGCAGAAAAAGATCTAGTGGTCCATCGAGTCTGCCCTTTGAGGTTTTTTTTTTTTGTTATTGTTTGTTTTCATTTTTACTTATTTATTATTGTTTAATTATTTTTATTCTATTTTTAAAAATTTTTGTTGGATGATGGACATGTGTTTCTTCCTAAGCATGTTTAAACTCAGTTACTGATGATTGACTCACTACCTCTGCCGGAAGTTGGTTCCGAACTTTCACTACTCTTTCGGTGGGGTAGTACTTTCTAACTTTTGAACTTCCCTCCTGTCAGTTATACCTCCATGTTCCTGGTTTTTGCTTAATATTAAAAATACTACCTTCTAGAACCTTATTTACACCCTTAATATATTTAAATGTTTCACTCTTGTCTCCCCCTCCCTCTCTTTTTTGTCCTCCAGGCTTCCCAAATTGCTCTTAAGCCCCAGTAAATCCTCAGGCATAGCTTCCACATAGGGAAGAAGGTATTCATTATTTAGGTATAGCAAAGAAATTAATGGGCGTTGTTTATATTTATTTATTTATTGCAAACATTTGTGACTTCAAGGGACCTGACTAGTATACACCCATTATCACAACCAACATCAGCCTAGAAACCTCCAGAAAAATGCAGGTAGGAGATAATGGGAAGTGTGCTGCACTAGATGAGGATGATGGAAGTTATAATTCAGTGTATCTGGGAAACACCTTCAGGAAGCCTGTTCAGTCAGAAAGGTTTTTCTTCTCTCTCTCCCTCCCTCCCTCCCTCCCTCCCTCCCTCCCTCCCTCCCTCCCTCTCTCTCTCTCTCTCTCTCTCTCTCTCTCTCACACACACACACACACACACACACACACACACACACACACACACATATCTCTACCACCCCCAATAGCTCCTCCAGTGGTCTCAGTTAAACAACAAGACCTGTCAGAGCTGGTAACCAGCATTTGGTTAAGGCGTGTGCCTGCCTTCCAGAACAGCTCCTTTCCCTTTATGTTATTTACAGGTGAAATAGGAATGGTGTTGTTTGCCGAGCTGCTTGCTTAACTGACTGAAGGCAGCTAAAGATCAAACGCAAGAGAACTATGGCAATATTTGGTGCGTTGATACCTGTCTTCCTGATTTGCTCTCCTCTTTGTCACTCCTGCCGGAGCCCTGATGACTTTGTGGGTGCCAGTTCTCCTGGAGATATTGTCATTGGAGGCTTGTTTGCAATTCATGGCAAAATGTTACATTCTGGAGAAAAGCCCCTCAAACCTATGATTGCCAACTGCGCTGGGTGAGTAAACAAACAACAGCTCTCTGCCATTAAAATGTTGCGAGGAAAATGACATCAAAGTGAACGGAGCTACTCAAAAGGGGAGAGGAGTGGAAATTTAGTTTGTTTTTTAAATGATTCTTACTTAAAAGATGGAGTTTGATCTGTCAGTTGAGTGACTGCATGATTAGAGGCTGTTATACTGCTATAGGCAGATAAAATCCAGTACCAGGGTAGAGCTTCAACATCTATCTTACTCAGATTTTATAAAAACAAATCTAATGGAGTTTACTTTTATGCCAACACTGTAGGATTGTGCTGTAAAATTAATCTGTAAATTACTATATTAAATTAGTCCGTTGAATTCAACAAGCCTTATTTCTGAGTACTGATGCACAAACAAGGACCGTAAGTATTTTGTTGATTTATATCTCTTTTATAGTATATGATTAATAATTGCAAATTTTAATATTTAGATCCATGACACAGTAATATGACTTTAAACACGTTATAGGACCAGAATCTAGCCCAAGCATACAATATTCTTTGTGCTGCAGTGTTGTATTTAACTTTTTTAAACTATCTGGAAGTAGAAACTTTTATATAATGATTCATATGGAATCTCATCGAGAGTCTGGAGATTGATATCAGATCTAAAGATGATTAAGGTACCAGATCTACACTGTAATAATCTGGACAACCACTAGATAGCATCAAGAAGTACATCAATTTCTACCTCTTTACTGCCATCTAGTGATCCTGCAGAATTTTGCTGCACAGATCAATTAGCCCCAATGGATACAGGATTGAAGCCCATTAATTTTATCATTCTTGTTCAAGAATTTATAAAGGCCATGCTTGGAATAGCAAGAATTTCACAAAATAAAATCACATTACCTAAGATTGGCTTTTTTTATTATATATTAAGAGGGAAGCAATCCATCATCACCAATCTGCCTGTCAGCATTTTCAAAGTGCATCTTAAAGGGTAATTAAATTCTCCCCCTTACTTTATTCATAACAGCTTTTCCCAAACTCAAGAGATACCAAATTTGGCCAGATGACCAGTAGATAGCACCAAAGAGAGACAGAAAATACTAACTCTTGGTTGCCATCTGGTGTAGAATCACAATTTTGCAGCCCAGATCTAAAAGTCCTGTCCAAACTGGTGTCTTTCAAATATGTGGAGATGGAATGCTCAGCCATCATGGCCTATGATCCAGTGGTGGGATTCAAATATGTGAACAACTGGTTCTCTGTGTGGATGCTGCTTCCGGAAGTCCATTCTGAACCTGGGCAACAAAAACTTAGCTACCAGTTCTGCCAAACTGGTGCGAACTGGCTGAATCCCACCACTGCTATGATCGTTTGTGTTGGATAACCCCGGTAGCTCCAATATATCTGGAAGTCACTAAGCTAAGGAAAACATTGTTACATTAATGCAATTATTGGTCTGAATGTAACTATTCCAAGAGAAGGTTGCTCTAGTCTAGAATAAGGGTCCTCAAACTTGGCCACTTTAAGACTTGTGGACATCAACTCCCAGAATTCCCCAACCAGGAATTCTGGGAGTTGAAGTCCATAAGTCTTAAAGTGGCCAAGTTTGAGGACCCCTGCTCTAGAACTTCAGCATAACCATTGTGAAGGAGGACGTGCCAATAATAATGAGCATGGAATAATGATATTGAAATCAAATCCACACCACTTATCTCTAATTCAAACTACTTTCAATTTCAGTGTTTCCTGCCTTGAAACAAATTAATTTCTTTTAAGTAGGCTTACATCTGTTTTAATTATTGAATGAAATGTGCAGCAGTGGGATCTTAACTTCTTCCAATTCCCATGAAAAACTTTCTCTGCTCAAGAAAGATCCTGGGGAAATAATAGGTTCTAGATTAACAGTTCTGTAAAAAAAAAAAATGCAGCATTACATCTGGAAGCATCCGAAGTGGCACTTATCTCACTTCGATTTTATCATGCCATGTAACTCAAAACTGTGTAACCATTTCTTAAACTGTAGAGACTAATAACTTATTTGCTCTGAGAAGAAATAAAGTTTGGGGTGGGATTGTTCACGAACCCCCAAAAAAGAAGGGATGCTGAAATGAATCCTTTCTTCTCTGTTGTATGACAATTGAGATTGCAAAAGGGATTATTTTGCAAAGTAATTATGGCAATGAGGAAATGATTATGTCAGCTTGTCTTCTGGATTAGCTATGCACATTTCAAACATTATTGATTTCTATCTTCCACAGGGAAGATTGTTATTCTTTTAATATTTTAATAATGGCAGACCATTTTCCTGAGACGTGGGTGGCTTTGTAAGACTGGGAGAGATGGGTAGGAAAGAGTTAGGCCAGCAGGACTATTATAGTTTTTTAAGAGCCCACACCAGTTACCAAAACACTTTAGATATCAGTGAGCACTAATCAAGATCTTCAACCAAATTTATTGTAATATGTGGAAATCTAGAGTTCTGCCAATTTTACCTATTGTAGGTATTGACTGGTTCAAATCAGGATCTTGACCAAAAGGGGGAGAAGGATAAGGACACCTTATTCTTATCTTTCAGTAATCCTGATAAAGGCAAGATCACTTGTGTCACTGGCAATATTGGAAGCAAGGATCTCTTCTACTTTCCAGGAATTCTGGTTCATATTGCTCTTTCTCCAAAAAAAAGTTAGTTGGTGGAAGGAAGGAAAGTTAAACTCCTGACCAGTTCTTGCTCAGTTTTAACCTTTACCCCAGTGACCTCTTACCTTACTACTTTTATTGGCAATGATGAGACAGTTATCCTGACTCTGACACTTCTAAAGAACTGGATTGTTAAAGAGAAGCTTGCGCAGGGATCCAAGGTGCCCATGCACATGTATCGTGTACCCACCATCACCCACCCTTATTCCCCAGTATCATGTCCAAAGGATAAATGTTGCTCTCCCTCAAAAGAAGTTTCTTCCCTGTCTTAAAGGACTTAGGAAAGAAGACTGGGAAATTGTAAGCTTCTTAACCCTCTTCCACCAGGCAATAGAAAGGATGAACTAGTTTTGAATGTGAAAACAATAAAGCCTATTTGGAGGAAAAACGAGTGAATTTTGAAACTCAGTAACCTAAAAGCAGTGGAGGCTGCTTGTTGCCTTTGTTAATAGTCTGATTCAAACAGTCCATTTGGCTATCAGAGATGGAGAATTTCAACCTACAGAATTTCAACCTACAGACCCAGATGAATCAGTATGCGTGCAAATACACTCACATGTTCGAACATCCTATAAAATTCAGAGGTAATTTAATCTGGGTAATCACTGCAGAATGGCATTTGTATTGTTCTTTTTTTGAAAATCAGAGATAAATTTAACCGTATATGTCTGTAGAGGAGAGTTCAAATAATATTGATAAATGCCTGCCAGGTATTTGGTCTGACTTTTCTGTCAAAGATGTGTATTATTTGTATAATGTCATATAGCTTCCGTTGAAACAATTAACAATTATTTCTGTATTTCTTGGCAGCTTTGAAGTTCAAGTGTTTCTTCAGAGCCTTGCAATGGTCCATGCCATAGAAATCATCAACAACTCCCCTCTTTTACCTGGAATTACACTGGGCTATGAAATCTATGATACTTGTGCAGAAGTCACCAGGGCAATGGCTGCAGCTTTAAGGTTCCTCTCCAAATTTAATGCTTCCAAAGACCTGGTAGAATTCAAATGCAACTATTCAGATTACATACCCCGAGTAAAAGCTGTCATAGGAGCCACTTATTCAGAAGTGTCTATGTCAGTTGCAAGAATATTGAATTTGCAGCTAATACCACAGGTAAGGTCATTCGGAAACATATCTTTATTTTCAGTCAGCAAAATCTAAATGAATGAATATCTCAGTGGAATAACTGGAAGCTGAATACTGTATAGTTAAGAAGGAGCTGCATTTGGCAGTTGCATTTCAACAACTTTCTGGATTTAGAATATGATTCTGTACAGAACTGAGCAACGTATCTGTATTTTGATAAAAGTATTTTTATGCTACGTATTTTTCCACATTCATGATACTGCACCCTCAAGCCTTTAGAAATCCATTGCTAATCTTAATATCTGGAAAAGGCAACAGGGAGAAGTAGGAAATTACGTCTCACAAGTTCTTTCAGCTAAAAGTTCTTCAGATTTTTCCTGGCTGTGCTACCTTTCTGCATGCAAATAGTTCTCAATTTACAATCATTTATTTAACAACTGTTCAAAATTATGGTGGTTCTGAATAAATATGACTTACCACCATCCTTGCACTCAGAACTGTTGTAACATCATCATGTGATCAAAATTTGGATGCTTAGCAACTGAGTATTGTATCGTGTATTTATGATGTTTGAGGCATCCTGGGGTTACGTGATCACCATTTGCGATTTTCCCAAAGGACTACTGACAAGCAAAATCAAACTTTGTAAGTCAAGAGCTACCCGTAAAGTGTTTTTATGAACATATAGGACAAATTAGCAATCTGATTCTTCACTTATAGTCTGATGTGCAACAAAAGGTTGACATCCCTCACTATTATCCCTGCTTGCTGGAAATGCTTTTAGTTGTATACATCTTAATACAACTGCCTAACATGCAAGTGGCCCATGTTCGAATCTCAGAAGGGTATGGCTAGCTGATGAGAGCTAAATAGCTCGAAATAGCTATACTAGTCTCCCTTTAATTCTTTGTTGATGAATTTAAATTTAATACGCTCTTAGTTGTAGTTCAGCAATATCTAAAAGGCCAAATTGTCAACTCTATTCTAATTGGAATAGTCACTCGGATTAGAGGCTCATGTACATCTCATTTTCTAGTACATTTTTATTCATTATGACAGCACAGCCATGAATTTGTCAGAACATGATTGGAAATGTGGAAATAAGGCGGGGGGAGGGAAGGAGAGGCAACTATAAATAGGAAGTAATGTAAACCAAATTTAAACAAAACTTTTTTCTCCATTAATATCTTATCTGCAGAAATCAACATGCCAACTGATCTTATTTTTTACAGTTAATGCTTGACAAATTGATTTTTTTCTTTTAAAATTATCTAGAATCATAGCAATAGGGCTGGAAGGGATCTTGGAGGTCTTCTAGCTAGTTGTTTACATTGAGAAAATCATTCAAATAACTAGGCATAGTTTTCAGGCCATGACCCCATATAGATGCACAGCGAATGTAGGATAATTATGTACTACAGAAGGCCCAGCAATTGCTTTTCTATACTAATGAGGCATGTGTATTTGGCCAATCAAAGCACAGTGGTTACTAGGCCCATGCAGGGTCTGCCTTCCCCTCAGAAAAGTCCAGATCAGGTTCTTTGCTGTATCTGAAACCTGATTCTTTGCTGCAAGGTGAGCATTGAAACCAGCACCTGGATTTCACACACTATATGTATTTTGCTCCTGCAGATTTGATTTCCCCCAGTTTCTTATGGATAATTTTATCTCAGCCTCCTCTAATGCAATACATTTAAATTGGAGTTTCCCTCCCCTTAACACTGCATACTTGGCCAGGAAAATGCAACTGAATATTTGAGGCAACAGACTAAGGATGCAGGACTGATATACAGCTACTGTAAATCTGGCACAGTTTCCCATGGAAATATTCCTGATTAGCTCCCTTATCTTTCTTGGAACTTCCAGATGTTGAAATTAAATCACAAACTATAAATACAATCTCTTTAGCACAATTCAGTGAGATCCATCTTAGAAGGGAAATACAAACGAATTCCATTTGACTAAGGTTCTGCCCATGTGGCTAAGGGAATACTGAAATTGTAAATCATATTTTGATTGATTATGCATTTTATGCTGATACACATTTACAGTAGATATCCTCCCATTTAAATACCGTAGCTCTCTGGTCACCTCAATTGCCTTTATTTATTCTCAGACAGCTGCCATTCTGCTACTTAAACTTCAGCCAGATTTTTCTATGTACTGTATATGTGAAATGTGTAGCTGATTTATGGATATGCTTACCCAATTTTATTCTTAGGTTTTTTTTCTTTCTCTTCGCATAAATTATTTTAATCGTCAAGCTTCATTATTGGTAAATGGACTGCAAGAAAGATTTCTTGTCTTGAGGGAGTCCTCATACACTTCCTGGTAAGAGGTGAAGAGGCTGCGGAAAGGAAAGGAATGGGCAGGAGATACACGTGACTGTAGACTGTTTTGCTGAAAAGCAAGGATGCCTCGGAGGGGAAAGAAAGCTCGCCTGAGGGAATTTTAACATTTGCAATGTATAAACAGGGTTTTTCTCGCTCTTCTGTTCTTTTCTGGTAAACTCTTCCCTGAAATCAGAAGGGAATCCAAAGAATCCAACCGCTTCAGCAAAATGCTGAAGTGAGCACTGTGATGGCTTGATGCAAACTCTGCCCCTTTCCTACACACATGTGAGATGTTACAACACTTGTCCCAAAGGGGCAAAGCTTGTGCTGGGATAGCCCAGTGTTTGTTTGGATTCATCCCTGGACACTAATCCTTCTGGCTTATTGTTTCTCCTGGACAGAAGGAGATGTATTTCTCTCACTCTCTCTTAAGGTGACCAACTTTTTTACAATGAAAAGGAGGACATAAATAAATTGAAGAAAAAAATATCATAAATAAAAGAAACATTTTATTCATTGCAACAATAATACAGAATACACTATAATATGATAAATGCATAATAAAAACATTTGTAACAATAACATTTTATATTGTAATTATGCTTACATGCTGCACCCCCGCCCACAGCCACCCCTCCAGCACTGCTGCCCCGCCATGTAGAGCGGGTACCACGGCTCCCAAAGCACCAGTGTGCCAGCTCTGGCCCCGGGGGGCAACCCGCCATCAACACACCCAGCCTGTAGCCGCCCCACCAGCACCACCACCAACCCTGAGCAGCCCCATGTAGAGCAGGCCCCGCGGCTTCCACAGCACAGGGGCAGCTGGCCATTGCCACATCTCACACCCCCGCCCGCAGCAGCCCTGCCATCCCTGCCTCTTGCGCCCGCAGCCATTATTTTCCTAGCAGGGCCGAAGATCAAGAGAAAGTTACCATGGGGTCGCCGCTCCTGTCTCCTCCAGGTATCTTCGGGACTAACCAAGAGATTAGTTGGGTAGCAGGGAGGGGTGCAAAATTCCTGCCAATTCGCCTTCGCTGCAGACAACTTACATGTGCAAAGTTTGTGGGCTGGGTGTTTTGGTGCATCCAGCAGCAATTCTTATTGGCTTTCGAAAGCCAATAGGAGGAGTAGCACAGCTCATGCAAAAGTTGAAAAAAAAACCCATCCAAAAAAAAGGTGCCGGAACGCCGTTCTGAGTGTTCTATGAGGGAAAAAAAGCCCTGCAAATTAGTCTTCAAATATTGAAAAGGAGGACATGTAGGAGGACACTTTTCGAGGGAGGACAGAACTAACAAAAGGAGGACTGTCCTACCTCTCTCTCTCTCTTTCTCTCTCTCTCTTTATGGCTCTGTGTGTATAAACATATATTTTATGCATTTCTATGTGGGAAGGTGATATTTGTATTAATAAAATAAAATTATTTTATTATTAATTAATAAAATCAGGTGCATTATTTTACTTACATTAATTAATGTTATTATTTTAGTATACATGCTTGTTTTATGTCTCAACACTATCCTTTTTCTGGGTGTATATGACTCATACATATTGGTGAAATGGTTAAGGCTTCAGGCTAAAAATTGAGAGACCCTGAAATTTAGTCCCACTTTAGGCACAAAGTCAGCTGGGTAACCTTGTGCCAATCTCTCTCTCTCTCTCTCTCTCTCTCTCTCTCTCTCTCTCTCTCTCTCTCTCTCTCTCTCTCTCTCTCTCTCTCTCTCTCTTTCTCTCTCTCTCAACTCCAGGAAGCAAGTAAAGGCAAACCACTTCTAAAATCTTTCCAAGAAAACTTTAGGGATCAGTCCAGGATATATACACACTTATATATCATTGTGTGTGTGTTTATACTGTATATTTTTATATACATAAACACACCTATAAATATACATTCTTTCTCCTTTCTAGTGTTCAAATATTCTTCACTCTTCATATATGCCTTCACATAAATAGGTATGCTTTACATATGTATACATACACATACACACATATAATTTTTTTATTTTGCAGGAGAAAAGGATGGGTTTCCCCTGGAGTTTGCAACCCTAGATATCTGGGTATTGTACAACTTGTTGTACAATATTGTGCAAAATGTTTACTTGGTGTTTTTTCTATCTCCTCTTCCATGGAGGAGATTTCACAGGATCATATTCTTTTTATATAAAATGGTACATGTTCAAAGTGAGAAAATTACCCAGCAGTAAGAAACGTTTGGCAGCAAATGAAGTTATTCAGGCTGGGAATGTATACCTACTTAGCAATGCAGACGTTCCCTTGGACATAAGAGGCTTTTTTTCTGAAGAAATTAAGTAAAGCTGCTTTGGCAAGGAATGAGCCACTGTGTGGCAGCTATAAGATTTTTCCAACCCTGGGTGAATATAACCTTCTACCTAAATAGTCAAACTGTTTTGACAACGTTACTGGTATTTTTAAGAGTTTCAATTGACCATTTCAAGTGGGGTAACTATGTCAAATACTAAACACTGAAACAGCCCTGTTGTTTTCACTTGTTAAAATTAGCATTTTTCAGAATACCTACCCTTCCTGCTTACCTTTGTCAAGTGAGGCTTCCTGCTAGAATTGATGAACTTTTTTCCTAGCTTGCTTAGCCATCATGGCCCCTATTCATTCATCACAGAGCTTTTCTGAGGATGGATAATTAGATAAATAAGGGCCTGGGTAGCCAGACTCTCTCCTGGCTAGTGTTCCTCCTACAGTGTTTCTACTGCATCATAGGACTAAAATTCACTCTCAGATTGTTCTTTTAAAAAAATTGCAATCCTTCACTGAGCCCAGAAAGATAAGGGGGGGGGGAATAGAAAACATGGAAAAAATCTTAGAAAAGGGACATTTAAAACATGGGAGGGACCACTTGATCTCTTACCTGGATGGTAGGCACTTAAGACATCCATCCAGATAAACATGTTGCATTGCTTTGTATATGGAGCAGAGTATTTCAGAGGACTACTTATCCACTCTCAGATTTTCCTCTAAGAAGTCAGTAATTAACTTTGCTTACAATTTTTACACACACACACACACACACACACACACACACACACACACAGAGAGAGAGAGAGAGAGAGAGAGTAGTGGCCAAAATTGTGGAAACATTTTGGGAAAACTGTATTTTTGAGGTTTGATGGCTAATAACACCACTTTTGGGGGGGAGTAGTACCATAAAAATATATATCAATGGAGAGATAATTTAATCAAGAATGTAATGCAGCATAGTTTGTTCAATTATCTGTACTGTATTCTATGAAAAGTTATAGCCAAATAACCAGAAAAAGGAAGCACAACTTGCTTAGGTTGATATCAGGTAGCTTTCCTTCATCTGATTGTAGCCAATGAGCATGAGTGCTTAGAGAACCAATCAGGTGTCATCTCATTTTGGCAATGAGCCAAACAGATCACAGTAGGATTCAGTTATTGATGTCATGTATTGAAGCTGAGAGGAGGACATTTGTCAGTATGTTATGTGATCACTATCAAGTTGATTGGGGTTTTTTTTTTCTTTCATTTAATGAGCTTGTAAAACATAATAAAATTAAAATAATGGTACAAAAAGTTACTAGCTGAGGAATTCTGGGAGTTGAAGTCCACAAGTCTTAAAGTTACCAAGTTTGAAGACCCACTGGTATAACCCTTAAATAATGGCCTATATTGTGTGACCTAGTCAAAACTTCTCCCTGTTTCCATATAACTGAACTGTTTTGCCCTCTCTGCAGGTCAGTCATGCATCCACGGCAGAAATCCTTAGCGACAAAGTGCGTTTCCCTTCTTTTCTGCGCACTGTACCCAGCGATTCCTATCAGACCAAAGCAATGGCACGATTAATCCACAGATCAGGATGGAACTGGATTGGAATCATTGCCACCGATGATGATTTTGGGCGGCTGGCTGTGGAAAGCTTTGGGTTGCAGGTTATGGCCAACAACGTCTGCATTGCCTTTAAAGAAATGTTGCCAGCTTATCTTTCAGACAGCACTATCCACGGCAAAATAAATCAAGCGCTTGAGAAGATTGTCAAGGAAACCAGGGTAAATGTCATCGTTGTCTTTCTGAGGCAATTCCACGTAATGAGACTTTTCAGAAAAGCAATAGAAAGGAACATAAATAAGACCTGGATTGCAAGTGATAACTGGTCAGCGGCTGTGAAGATTAGCACCATTCCAAATATCAGTCGCCTGGGGAAAGTGGTTGGATTTACATTCAAAAGTGGCAACATGTCCTCTTTCCATGAGTTTTTGAGCAATCTACCAAACACACCCAGTGGCAACAACACATTCTTAAGGGAATATACGATGCTAATGTCAACGTGCTCCCATATAAATGACCAACGTCTGAGTAAGTGCATTTCAAACCATTCAACAGAGAATTTGCCCCAGAACCACACTCGCCCAACTAACAGCCTTTGGCGAGAGGAATTTCTCATTGCCAACGTTGAACCAGGATTTATCCACAGCACTATGCTGGCAGTGTATGCAATTGCCAAGGCCATTCAAAAACAGTGCAAGGACAGAGACTGCAAAGATCCATATGCTTTCGCTCCTTGGGAGGTAGGGCTTGATAATATTTTTCATTCTTTTTTAGCTCTGCTTTGCATCTCTTTCTTCCTTGCATATTACATATTAGAATACAAATATTAAGGGTCTATTTTTGTTATTGACTCAGGATGACATGATGTAAGGATGATTTATCAGCAGGATTAAAACATCTTGAATGTAAACATAAGTCTGTGTTACGTTCCACATGTAGTGTTCTAGTTTCTAAGCAGTTGAAATTGTGTCCATTTCCTTGCTCCTTCTCATGGTAGTTGGAGAAACCTTACTTGACCTTACACATCATACAACAGGTTTATTGGATTCACAAACATACTAGCTTACTCTTGTTGAGTAAGCCATAAACAGCTGGATTCATAGTACATGCTAAACTAAAACTGGACAAACCACATCTCAATTTAGGATTATATGTACTGTGCCCTGTACTTTGAGAGACAGCACATTTTTATAATCAACGACAGGTATGTATATGTGCATATTAGAAGCTTACAGTTCTCTTATGTTTGTTTTAATTTTGATTGGGGCTAAACAGATCATATTTGAAACTGAGGAGCCACTTACAAGATCAGCTTCCACCATTAAAATTTAACTCCAATAAGAAGGAGTTAATTGAAATATAAGCTTTTGGGGGGAAGGTTCATCTTTGCTCCTAAATGAAAATACAAACAGACACCTTTACTAGTCCATATATCCCCCTTTCCCCCAACAAAATAGTCCTATTGACTACTTTATAATTTCTGGGTGGGTCAAAACTCAGAGAAAGTAACCCACTCAAGATACCATGAATGCATCTTGGCAAAAGGGATTTAAATCAAATCCCAATAGCAACCCCCCCTTCCAAATTCTGAGCATCACATTTTAGTGATGGTTAATTCTTTTGAAAGAAAAATCCTTAGTTTGAAGAAGAACATTTTTCATTATGATTTGTAATCCTAAATCAGTGGTTCTCAACCTGTGGGTCGGGACCCCATTTGGGGTCGAACGACCATTTCACGGGGGTCGCCAAACAACGCAGTCCGCCATTTTCCCCCTTTTCCTTAGCTGTGCTACTCCCTTTTATTCTATTGGCTTTTGAAAGCTAATAGAATAGACTCTCTTGAATAGAGTCTAATTCTACTGGCTTTCAAAAGACAATAGGAATTGTCCAGGCTGTCTCTGCCCTGCTGAGCCCGCCAAAAGTCCCATTCTGCAAACGGTGCTGCAAGTTGTCTGCAGCGAAGGCGAGCTGTCTGGAAGCTTCCACCCCTCCCTGCTGAGCAACTACTAAAAATGTAAGTAAAAGAGGGCCAGGGGTGGGAGGTGGGAGGCCGGTGAGCGCAGGGAGGGTTGCTGGCGCATGTGGGCCCAGTGGGTGCCTTACCTCCCTTGGGCTGGGCCAGCTGGTGGCCCAGTCGGTGGTCAGCCTGCGCTGTCTCTGCCGCTTGCCAGCTACGCCTCAGCCGGCGCAGGGGGTGGCACCATGCATTTGCAGTGCTCCCGGGAAGGGAAAGTCCTCGACTTACGACTGGTTGGGTAGTCCTCGACTTACGACTGGTTGGGGGTCGCGGCATTAAAAAGGTTGAGAACCACTGTCCTAAATTGTGATGTGGTTTGTCCAATATATTGTTGAGATGTGTTTGAATATTAGAAGAGACAATATATTGTTTCATCATGCTGTTTCCAAGTGTCTTTGGAGACGCTTGCTATACCTTACCTTAAAAAATTCTAAGCAAGACATCATAGAAAGCAAGCCAATACTGTTTTTTTCCCCACAGATGAAAGAATAAAAAGAGGAAAGAATAAAGAGACAGCTGATGAAAGAATAAAGAGATAATCTCAGTGAGAGATACCCTTGAGATTATCAAGAACCTGGTGCTTAGCATATGCTGAGGGCTCTTCATCCATTTCAATGCAGCCTGTTTTCATGCAGGCCCTTAGTTAGGCTGACTCTAAATAATGGCCATGTTTATTTAGTTAATAGACAACCACCACTGGCATAATGCTTAACCATCTCTTAGCAAACTAACCTAACAATTTTCTAGAAAATGGCTCTCAAATAGGAAAAAAAAAAGTATTGCTAGCTTCTTTCTCCAGTATCAGCCCGAGCAGAGAGATTTCCACTTCAGCTAATTTTCTCTAACTTAGTTCTTTCACTCAAGATCAAATATAAGTAAACCATTCCTGACTTAAAAGAAGAAGTTTTGTGCCTTTCAAGTACTCAAAATATAACTGCCTGAAAATCATTTATCTTCCTCTAAGAGAGGCAAAACAGGTGTAGAGCTATAATAATCAATCAAATAGAATCCAATTGACATTTTTATCTGAATATCAGGGCTGGAATATTGTTTTCTGCATTTTTCTTTTTCCCTTATACAGCAAAATCTATTTGTAAGGCAAATAATGAAGCACCCCTCATGGCCCTTAACCTCCTTTTGATCTTGTAATTGAAGAAATATTTGTAAGTGTGTGTAACCCTGAAGTTATAAACCTGCTGAGCAATTGATACAAACTTCTGATAGACATATATATGAGTGTGTCTGGATTAGTTGCACACATTTTATGACCCTATCCAAACTTTGATTGTTTAGGATTGGATCTTTTCAGTCACAGCACCTACTCTATAGATCGGCTTCCCCACATAGTTACACAACCCCCATGCTCCCTGCCGTCAAGGGAGCCCTAAAAGAGCCCTGGCTCTTTTCCAAGATTTGGGTTGCAAAGTTTGGGGTCAAAGGGTCAAAGTGGGGATATTGTAGGTGAGTGTTTTTAATCAGTTCTCTCAGAACAAATAAGTAGGGAGTTTCTATAATGTTTTTCTTGCTTTTGAGCTTTCTGAATGCCTTCATTTTGAAGTTGGGCAGTCTAGACTCTCTCTCTCTCTCTCTCTCTCTCTCTCTCTCTCTCTCTCTCTCTCTCTCTCTCTCTCTGTGTGTGTGTGTGTGTGTATGTATGTATGTATGTATGTATGTGTATCTGTCTGTGTGTCCATGTGTTGAAGGGATTTTTGAAATCCAAACTCACTGATATGTTATTCCTGCTTCCAGCATAATGTTTTGAGTTAACATTAATGCTATTATTGAGGAAGTATCCTGTCAACTTATCTTGTTTTTTGGGTGGAGATACACTTCCAAAAGAACTTTCCCACAATTACTGAACCCTCAACTTTCTGGCAAGTGAACCTGAGTTTAAAACGGTTCTGTTGTTTTTAGCAAAGACTTTAAATCAGTACTCCTTTAAATCAATAATCTGGGAGGTCCACCAATTATTGTGGACTTCAACTTCCAGAATTCTCAAAAATCGCAAAGGGGCATTTTGGAAGCTGAAGACTCCACACACACACACACACACACACACACACACACATTATTTTCTGAGAGAAAGGATTCCCCAAATAAAAGTTATTCACTGTATAACAGTTTTTAATCATGTTATCAAAATGGGATTTTCCTCATTTGGAGGTACTGTGATTGGTTAGCAAATACTAGGATTTAAAAACAAATTGAACTATGGCCATGAACTTTATATACTGCTTGTGAACTTCCAAAGTATGGGCATTGTATGTCTGGAAGAGAAAATGCATAAAATATCAATAAAATGGTCAAGAATTTAGATCATCCCCTTATCATGAAAGCCAAAAGTTTGTGGGAGACATGATAGAGACTGAGACATCCATCAGTTTGGAAAAAGTGGATCAAAATATTTTTCTTCTCTCCTGCAAAGACATAGTTTTGGAACTCTTCTGTGAAAATGGCAATTTTTTTCAAGCTAAATGATAAATTCTAACAGTGCTGTCTAATGTCTGTGTATATTTAACCCTACAGTGTGGCTGTAGTATTATTTTTTATCCTTATTAATAATTTCTTTATTCCCCCTTTTATTGATATTATTATTATAATTCTGTTGCTTTGCATGCATAAAGAGTGTTTCTGTATTGGAGACAAATTCTTGTGTGTTTAATCACAGTTGGCCAAATAAAGTATTCAATTCAATTCAAAAATGAATTTTTAGAATTCTAAATAATGATTGGCACAGGTTAGGATGGATTTTTTTCCAGTTTGGGCAAATGTACTGATAATGTTTTACTTATTTTAGTAATTTGTTTAATTAATATTTTGTCTTTCCTCCAAGAAGTTGATGCAGCTTCCATGGGAAGCTCTCCTCAACAGAACAGGAATATTTGATGCTACAAGTGTTTATTTATTTCTTTATGGTAGCTTAGTGAAATTTCATGTTCCCCGTGTCTTTTTGAATACCATTTGGGGGAAAAAAACAACAGGAAAAATTACTAGTGTTGTGCACTATATACAGTCTTCTATCCTGAAGGTATTTGGATTGGCTTTTGCTAGTAGCAGGTTTCGGGCTGACTGGAATTTTGGCCTGATTTAGAAAGGTAATGTGCATGTTGCTAGTCATTGAATTTGCAACATTTGATTTGAGGAGAGTATTAGCATCAAACATATAAACACTTTTCTAAATCACCCAATGCTTTGTCATTCGGTGATTCATAGCTTTACCCCCACAACCCTTTTCCTGAAAACATTGTATTTGAAATGATAGCAATGATCTGTAATGAGTCATACCCTTCACATAAACATAATATAATTTGATATTACAGGCATCAAATAAAGCAATTAAACACATACACAACAGGCTTTCACTCAGTTTATTGTTCAATCTAAGAACAAATGCAGCCAGTTTTATTAAAGCTGTCAAGATTGTATTCCTGAGTCCTGAACAGTTTCATTAAAAGCAAAACTATACACAAATGGCATATTCCTTTCCTAACATTTGACAAGAAGTCAAATGAGGAGGATATGAGGAGTGAGAAGATAAACTGAAGGACTGCATTTCAATGATGAAACTAACATGAAGGGAACAGAATGGATTAGCACTCTTTTTCCCTGAGCTGCTAGAATTTTAGTTCAAGGGGTTATTGTTTGTTTTATTTTACTCAGGACAGGGGCATATTCAACACTGTCTTACAACTACAATATTCTGCTATTCTCCTTCATGCATAG